TCTGTTGGCGTTGAATTGACTCTTGATGATTTTCAGAAGGTTAGTGATGAAGTTCCTTTCATTGCTGATCTTAAGCCTAGTGGGAAATATGTTATGGAAGATGTTCACAAGGTATATACTTATTTATTTGATATATTCTCTCTATTAATAGTATTATTATTTCTGTTGTTACTGTTTATATATGAAATTTCTTTATTATTGTCAAGATTTTTTCCTGGCCATGCTATTGGTGTTTATGCTATTTTAATTATCATTGTTAACCGTGCTTGAAATCCCCTTTTCTTTTCATTTTTTTGAAAGATTGGAGGAACCCCAGCAGTTATCCGCTACCTTCTTGAGCAAGGCCTTTTAGATGGTGACTGTTTGACAGGTATTGTACTTGCCTCTGTGTGTTAATTACTGAGTAATTTTTCCAAAAAATAAATAAAATGTCGACATCGCTAACACGCATATACCTCCTCTCTAGTCACTGGAAAGACCCTAGCTGAAAACGCAGAACTTTTCCCTCCTTTATCCAAAGGGCAGGTATGAACTTGTTCTGTCCGTGACATGTGTATCATATTGCTATGTAGTGCTCCACAATTGCAACGGCTTGATTGTTAATAAAATGATCACATGATAACCTACAAGTTTTCTATTATGTGATTCAGGAAATAATAAGGCCAATTGAAAATCCCATCAAGAAGACAGCTCATATTCAAATATTATATGGAAATGTTGCACCACAGGGTTCTGTTGCTAAAATTACTGGAAAAGAGGGCCTGTACTTCTCTGGTGAACCTTCTCGTGCTATTCTCTTGGAGTTAATTTTTTGTTTGTTTATTTTGCCCCTCTCAATTGTCCACACCACAAATTATTCTTAATATGTATTATTATATAGGTCCTGCACTTGTTTTTGAAGGAGAGGAGGCAATGATTGCTGCCATTTCAGAGGATCCTTCGAGGTTTAAGGTATTTCCTTATTTAATATAATATGCATAAGGGCTTATTATAGTGTTGTCAAGAGACTCAAGACTGATGTATGAATGAAGTGTCAGGAATTGATATTTTTGACAGGTTTACTAGTTAATATGTGCTAGAAAAGTAATCAACCTATGTTAAACTCAAGTTGATTGGTGTATGTTAATCAGAGTCTTAGCAAGTACTATATGGAAGTATGAGGGATAATGGATTAAGAAAGTGAGTTGGGTATTGTTGCATGAAAATTGTCTAGAGACCATTTAGTATAGTAGAAGCTTCGTAAGTTAGCTAAGTAGAACAGAATGGCAAAGGCTATCGGAAATATTGTGGTAATAAAGAATATTTGCATGTTTTTGTTGATTTGGAAAAGTCATTTCATAGGATCCCTAGAGATATTTTGTGGAAGACTGTAGATAGAAGAAGAGTTTGTATTGCATACACTTTAGCAGTCAAAGATATGTAAGACCAGGTCATGACTAGTGAGAGAACATAATGTGAGCCACAATATTTCGTTCAATAGTTTTACACCAATGGTGGCCGTAGCCCGCATATTTTCATTTTGTTTCTTCATGTGCTTAGTGAGCATCTTCAAGAGATGGTGCTGCTACTGAACATTATTTTGCAAATTATATATTTGTGGATGGTCAAGAGAAGAAATTAATGTTGAGTTAGATATTTGGAGGCAAGGCTTCAAAATTCATGGCTTTCATTTAAGTAAAAAAATCAAACTGAGTATATGGATTGTTTGCTTATTGCTTAGCGGGAGGCACAAATGATAGCTTAGAGGTAAAATTGAAGAATATCAATATACCATATTTTATGTTCGGAAGGCATTACTCAAGCTTAAAGGAAAGTTATAATGCAGAACTATAAGACTTGCAATGTTATATTGGATTAAATTCCAAGTGGTAACAAACCAACAAGGTTTAGCATTGCAGAGATGAGAATGTTGTGATAGCCGCGTAGGCAAAGAAAAGTGGATAGGACTGGGGAATGGGGATGAAATCATTTGAGAAAATTTATAGTAGTTAGAATTGTAAAAAAGATAGTAGTGTCTCGTCGTAAGCAAGTAGGACATGTACGAAGAAATAACCATGTATGAAGAATAAGGAGGGTAGACAAGATGAAAAATGATCCAATTCTAGAAGTACTGGGAGACTAAGGGAAAGGTAAATCAAATCATTTCAAGAGAATTAGAGCATGGTTATTAGTATCCTATGATACACGTGAGTCATATCTTGATCCAAACAAAATTGAACTCAATTGATACAAATCATAGTGTGTATTTCTTTGACATAAATCACAGCTGGAATCTCAATTCATTTTAATGAATCACAACTTTCCCCTGAATCACTCGACCATTCTGCTGGGGGTGTTGTCTTGAAACGGGCATGGTAACTCGACCTGGTTTCTAAAATGCCCATTAGGGTTGTTTTTGCATTATTTCAAAGTTACAGCATTGTCTGAAAACAAATATTCCTAAAAAACCCATGTCAGAATCTCCATCGAAGAGTCCTAGCACTCTGCATTCACGGTTCCTTTTCCTGCCTACACAATGTTTTGCTCCCTCTCTCCTTTGTTCTTCACTATTTGTTCATTTCACTTCACTTAAAAGTGCCATATTGTTATTTCTCATATATCTCACAGTTAATAATAAAATTTGATTCACGAGTTGGAAAGTTTTCCAATTCATGATTTAGATCTGGATTCGATAGCATAATTTGTATTTCTACCATTAGTTGTGGTTCATTACTTGGGATGACAAAAGTTCCTGTAACATGGGTACCTGTTCCTGTATATCCATAATTCATAAAATTAATTGTTGTTTTGAATATATAATTATTGTTTTTTTATTCCTTTACCCCATTTGTCATTAACGAAACTCATACTTACCTTGTCCATCTCATGGATTTATTCCTTTACCCCATTTGTCATTAATGTTTCCTTATCAAACTGCACAGTTTCTCGTTTGAACTATACTAATTATGAATTTTGTTCAAATTGTTGTCATTTCACAGTTTTTTCAGTTGTCACTGTATCAATTTCTTTTACACAGATATAACCACAGTCCAAGGCAACTAAATGTAGCTCTTATTGATTTCCTCTGTATGAAATTCATCATTTCAGGGAAAAGTTGTTGTAATCAGGGGAGAGGGGCCTAAAGGTGGCCCGGGAATGCCTGAGATGTTAACACCAACAAGTGCAATAATGGGAGCAGGACTTGGAAAGGTCTGTCTTAGCTTTGCATAATTTTATCTTCATTTTTATATGTTTACCTAGTTTGTAACATGGTTTTGTCCATTTTTACTATGAATTGACCTAAATAAGCACTTTTACAATTTTCGTACGTTTATTTTTCACATGTTAAAAACCTAATAAGCATGAACTTTTCTTTCTATATTTTTTATCCATGTGTTCAAAGGTGTTGGCCAGTCATTAGTTTTTTCAATAGAAACAGGAATGCCTTTTTTCTAGCTTTGAGAACCACGGTGAAGTGAAATTTCTTAAGGATATGTCTTTCGATACTGCAGGATGTTGCTTTATTGACTGACGGAAGATTTTCAGGAGGTTCACACGGGTTTGTGGTTGGTCATATTTGTCCAGAAGCACAGGTGAATTGACCATGCTTTTTAATCATTTTTGTACTGCTATAGTATGCTAAATATATTCAGAAGCATCATCTGTGAACTGCAATCTTTGAATTAGGTCAAATGGTATTGGGGTATGCATTTAATTATCTCATGTAAGAAACATTTTCTTCTGCTCTCGGAGTACCATCAATTTCAAATTTCATAGAACCAGCTGATTTGGTTCTTTTAAAGGGATGAAAACAATGGGTTGTGCATGTTTTACTTTTCATCCTCTAGAATGTGCATTAGTTACTTTTTATCCTCTAGAATGTGCATGTTTTACTTTTTATCCTCTAGAAGTTCATTCCAAAAAGTAACTGAGTTTGTGACCATATTGTCTATTTAGAAAAATGCATTCTACCGCAGCCAAGTGCAACTTGAATGCGTTTTTCAACGTTTCCATTCTAATCTAGAGGATGTGAGTGTGTAACCATGCGAGTTTATTATACAATACTATCTATGACAGTTGAAGATAATGGTTCTTTACGGGAATTATGAACAAGTTCACTCTTTTTAATGTTCTCAATTAGAAATTAGTTGTACACTTCACGGGGAAGAGGTTAAGACTGTCTCGCTTTTACTTTCTATTTCTTCTTACGGGCCTCTTTAATTGTATAGGAAGGTGGTCCAATTGGTTTGATTCAAAATGGAGACGTTATCAACATTGATGTTCAGAACAAGAGAATCGATGTTTTAGTTACAGATGAGGAGTTGCAGGCACGCAGGGAGAAATGGGTTGCTCCACCATACAAAGCTAACCAAGGTGTTCTTTACAAGGTATGAGACCAAAAAACTCCTAAAAAAGATCAAGTTTAAATATTTTCTGAGATTTTGTTAATTCTTCCATTGTTCTTAAGCAAATCCATCGTCTTTCTTGATCCAGTATATTAAAAATGTGAAATCTGCTTCTAGCGGATGTGTAACAGACGAGTAGAGAGAACCACAATTTTGATGGGTTGCAGAGCGAAATCCAATTTATGTCCTTATAGTAGTAGCATTTTGATGAGGTATTACTATTTTCGCTTAGATGGTGCATTTCTATGTATCTTGATGTAACTTTATTTTTATTTCATTATTTTTTGGTACATTGCTAGACTTGAATCCCACCATCTGTCTTTGCTCTTGTTTCTTTCTATTGTATCAAATATAAATAATGTTGTACTCCAAGTTAATTATGAAGTGTTAGATTTATATCTTGGCAAAAATTCATGATCATTAAAAGGGAATGCAGACAAAAGCATAGCTTATATATAGATTCCTTTATTTAAAGTCACAAACATAAAATTTTCATAACTAGTATTACATGGTATGTGCTGTCAAACAAATTGCAGAGCAAAACAACAATTTTATTTTATATTACAAAGCAAACAAATGCTGAGGATAGTAAAGAGTAGGATTTAGGAGTAGGATTTAGGAACAACTCGCATTATGAACCAAAAGCGAGGAGCTAAAGCTTAACTTTGAGGAAGATAGATCAAACACCAAAAGATTGTCCACTAATTGATGTCCACCAATAACAATCGAAGCTTTTGTAAAAGACATCCTTGGCTCTGTACCTCCATCAACAATTCCAAGACATGCTACATTTTTCTTTACATTAACCATCAAATTGGTTTCATGAATTGTCCACTGCACTCCCTTTTGAAGAACAAGATCAATTCTTGGTACAGTGTTTTCAATGCTAGTTGAGTCAAAACAAGCCTCAAATGGTGCCACTGATTCCACTCTCTTTAGTTTCCTATCTGAAGCCTTCTTGAGGAAATCACGAATAAATGGCTTGTAAACTGTTGTTTGCAATTCAGTGAAAGGAGTTATAGTACTAATTTTGGTGCCACCATTTCCCTTTTTGTCAATGGACAACAAAGAAGGCTTAAAGTTCAAAACATGTCCATCAATCTTTATAGCTTTCACATCAATAAAATATTCATTTGAAGGGACACCTTCAACAGAAACAGCACCTGTCGAAACAGGATTCACAACGAGTGGTGTAGTTTGAACAAATTTGGACAACTCATCTGATCCAACAAGCAAGTTAGTGAATCCTTGTTTGTTTGAAGAAGGCAAACAAAGAGAGAATTTGGTTGGAAGATTGTTTTTCAAAGCAAGCTGTGTTGGCAATGAAAGGTTTGATCTTGCAAGACCAATAATCCCTTTGGTGTTTTTTGGTAAGCCATTTAGTGGTGAATCATCAGTGAATCTATCAGTTTCAACGCAACTCGAAAGCAAACCAGAAACTTTGTATTGAGAAATGAAAATGAAATCTTGACCAAGTCCGCCGCCAAAAATGAAATTGGCTAATGAGTTGGTTGCAGAAGCAGGACATGTGTTGTTAGTGCAACCTGGTTTGAAAGGGCCATCACAGGAAACAATACATGCAACATCTGGACATTGTTTAGAGCCACATTGAATAGGAGTATAGGATGATGAATTGTAGTGAGTATCACAGTCATACCACAGGTTTTCTCCTGCAAGATCAATGACTAGATTGAAATTGGTTCTAGGAGTTCCTATGCCAACTGATGTGTAGAAGAGGTTGGTTGATGGGTCTTTTTTGATGGGAAGAATGAAGGAGTTTGGTTTAGAGGATGCTGATAAAGAAGAAAGTGAGAAAAAAGATAGCGATAAGATGAAGAAATGGATGATGTAAGAAGAAGAAGAAGAAGCCATTGTGAATGATGAAGATATTGGAAATGGTATTGTTGAGGTTTGGTTTTATAGATAAAGATATACAAGATGGTAGAGCATATTGTTTATGACTCTAATTTGACCACCGTACATTTTCAGTGTTTTGTCAAAGAGGATGGCTATTTAATTTGTACTTGAGTTTGAAAATTAGAATATTAAAGAAGTCTTCCACAAGGTTGTTTATTGTATGTAAAATCTTACAAATTTATATAAAATAAAAAAAATAAGTATTAAATAATTGAGTTGTGTGTATGTTTTTACTCAACCAAACTCTATAAAATATAATTTATTTTTTTTAAATAATTATTTTTTCAATTTTTTTTCTCAAATTACCACATTTTCAAATTTTTTATCAAAATAACCACTTTTCAAACAAAAAAATTTCACCACACAAAGGAGTAGCCACTTTGTGTGACACATGCACTCAATTTAAAGAGGAGGCGCCACACTGCATGGCTTGTCCTCCTCTGTAAAGCCATGCAGTGTGGCGCATGCATGTGTTTTTGAGAGGAGGCGCCACCTTCCTTGGCTTGACAGTGTAATTGCAATTTTCTATAAATACAACCACCCATCTTCTTCATTTTCCACACTATTTGTCACATAACTCTTAGAAAATATCTTCAACTCTGTTGCCAAAGTTTTCACTGATCAAAAGAGATGCACATGTTATTTTTTCAGCGACAAAGCCTCTGGTGAAGATCAAACTCTGGAACACACAGACGTTCGAGCATTTTCAGAGGCACTTGATTCGCTGGTTGGAAGGAGACATTCCTGAAGGTGAACAAATCAGAAAAATAGAAAGGCACATCATAGTGAGGAACGAAAATGGAGTAAGCCGATCATGGAAAAAGGTGAGATGCGACGCTGATGTCATGATGATGATGCTTGGACCAAAGGATATTGTGTTGATGGTCTTTGCCTCTTAGATATTATGATTTGTTTAGTTGTTTTGTCTGTTTATCATGTTATCGTGTTGTTGTCCTGAGTATGTGGTGTTGTAATTTTTTGTGTCATGATGTGAAAGTTGTTGTAATCGAATGATAAATTGAACACGAAATGATAACTCAAATTTAAATTGAAATATAGCGTACAACAAATTAAACACTCTGGATAGTTTTCTATAAAAAAGTTATGTTGTAGAGCTAGACCCAATATTCGAACAATTTTTTCGATTGTGTCCGGGAAGATGACATGTACCGCATAATCTTATCATTTTGTTGGCCGTATCCATTTCAGTTCTAATACGAGTGCTTTTCGGGCGCCCCTTTTTCTTTCGTTGCATTTGTTCATTGTGCCAAACAATGTCCCCTTCATAAGCAGGCCAATAATCCTCCTTTGCCAACACGGAGAAGGTATTGATGTACACACTTAAAACGCTCTTTACCGTGTACACGGGGGATATATGTTGTATTGGGTCCAAGCGAACATGCGAACATGCCACTATGACATGAGAGCAAGGCGTGCGAAATGCTTGAAACTTTCCGCAATCACACCAACCTCTATCTAGTTCGATTCGATAATATCCCCTTGGCCTCCCCTCATTATGATCCAGTGTCTCTTGTACACTGAACCAACCTTTAATACGGTCAAACACGGTGACACTATGGGTGTTTGCTTTTGCAGCCTCCTCGTTAAATGTTTTCATCGTGCATTCACTGAATAACTGCCCTGATTGTAACACTGCTCTCCATTTTGAACTTCTTGTGTCAAACAATGATCCCATTCTGAAATATGTTGCTCTAACCAAAGCGGTAATTGGTAGGTTTCAGATGCCTTTGAATACAGAGTAGAATTATTCCACCAGATTTGTTGTCATGTGGCCCCATCGTTGACCATTGTCAAATTTCTGAGTCCACTTCTCCACTGGAATGTTATCGATCCACCTTAATGCTTCTGAGTTTGCCAACTGGATTTCTTCGCGATAGTATCAGAATGACGATTCTGTTAAGGCATACCCTACATTAATAACTTTCTTTTGAAGTGTCTTATCTTTGATATGGAGCATGAAGTTTTGTGTGATATGTCTAATGCAATAGACATGTGTCGAAGGGGGGTCCTGCCAACCGTTATTAGGGTTATTATATGCACTCACAATTGATGGATGTCTGCCTGAAATCAAACAAAGGTTGGTTGTGGAGCAACGTGTAATCGGAGATTCTTTAGAAAGAAATTCCATGCACCACATGTCTCACCTTCAACTAGAGCGAAGGCAATCGGAAAAACATTACTGTTCCCATCTTGTGCCACTGCCATGAGTAATGTTCCTTTATACTTCCCGTATAACCAAGTCCCATCAATCTGTATAATAGGTTTGCAAAATGCAAAACCCTTGATGCATAGTTCAAACGCCCAGAATAATCGATGAAATATTCCATTCCCACTAACACGAGTTCTGTCTGGGGTAAAAGTCGGAAGTGTCTCCAAAATTATAACAGTTTCCGGAGCATAATATTTGAGTGCCACCAAAAATCTTGGAAGTTCTTTGTACGATTCCTCCCAATTACCGTACACAAGTTCAACTGCCTTAGTCCTCCCAATCCATGCCTTCCTGTAAGAGGGAGTATAATTGAATCTCGTAGTGATATAAGAAATAATTGTACTCACCTTTAATTATGGATCTTTGCTAATAAAAGGCAAGATTTCTTAACATATTAGTTGAGAACTAAGTTTCCGATGATCCTGTATCGGAACAGTGGTGATGCGAGTGTGAAGTGGATCAATGGAACCTATTTCCCATGAATCACTTCTCTTCCTGTAAGATGCAGTTAACCGAAAAGGGAAAATTGGTTTTTGACGACATAAAATAACGTACCTTCCTGAATTATTTTTATCTACAGTGAAGTCAGCTAAAATTTCCATGTGGTATTTTTTGATAGCTCTAAGACACTCTTCTTTTGTTTGAAATTTGTCTCCAACTTTCAAGGCACCTTCAGTCTGCATATAAGGATCGTGAAAGATATATGAGGCTGGTTCATCTTTCCCCAAGTTCAAGTTCGTCATGTGAAACAGAGGGTCGTACGCATGACTTGCAGGTATAGGTTCATGTAGGGGTGTGCATGGTTCTTAAACCAACCCAAATTGGTCAAAATATATGGTTTAGGTTTGGTTTTTATAACTGTTTCATAAAACCAGTTTATTTTCACAAAACCAGTTTATATTTAGTCCGATTTGGTTTAAAACCAGTTTTTCATTTAAACCGGTACAAAATTAGATTTTTTTCAAACCAGTTTTTAATTTAGTATTTGAAACACTTATTTATATATTGATTTTCTCGGAGTAAGTTTGATTTAGTAATTTAAAAATCTAAGTCAATTATATTAAATAACAAATTAAAAAGTTAAGCCAAGCTCTCTTTCCTTCTAATTTATTTAACAGTATAGGTTATTATTAAAACAAAAAAAATCAACAGTAGGAAAACAAAAATGAAAGATCATATATTTAAAAAAGATATATAAAAGAGAAAAAAAATTAAAATTGGTTCAAGTGGTAATGAGTAAATCATGATTTTTCATACAGAAATTTTTCTTTTAATTTTTTATCACATTCAACTATCCAGACTCTTTTTTTATTTCTAGGCTTATCTACATTTCTTTGAAACTTCCGAGAACATGTATAGGTATAATCCATTGCCTTGAGACCTTTTGGAAGTAAAGTTTTACCGAAAACTTACCTTTCCATTTTCGTCCTCTGGGTATTTCCCGGCACCGGAGCTATGAAAAAAATCTTTGTGTATTTTTCGACACCGGAGCCATGGAAAGATGACGAAAACCTCACTGGATTGTGGCTTTAAGAGGAGATCGTATCAGAATGAAATCAAGACGATTGGAGAACGAGTTGGAGGAATTAGTGGAAACACGAGAATCTGATGTAGTGAATGATGTAGATCTTGAAAAAGATGAATCGAAGAAGTAGAATAAGAGAAGGGAAACTATCAGATGATGAAGGAAGTGACGGTTATGGATTAATAAATTAGGTTTACAACTTTGTTTTTAAAATGGATACCGGGTCTGAAATTGGTTTTTTAAAATGGATACCAAATTTTTTGGGTTTTACTAAAACGGATCTGGGCCAGTTTTGATGCCAAATAATCTGGACTTTTAAAATTGGTGCACCTATTTTTTTAAAATGGTTCAGTCGAAATGATTTATTTGCATACCCCTAGGTTCATGCTCTTGATCTGCAACATCATCATTGACCATAAAATCAATCATTACCTCATCATCTTCTTCTTCTTGGTCAATAACATCGACTTCAGGATGGTTGTCCTCGTCAGATTCATCCTCTTCTTCAAAGTCTTGAGAAGGATCTACCACCTGAGATTGATATGGTTATTGTAATAAAACATACAACTCAATCTCATCGAACCCGTATTGTTCATGAGTTCAAAACATGTTTCGAACATCATCATCGTCACGCACCTTAAGTTGATAAAATTTGACTTGGTTGTTGTCAAATAGAAATGGGGATTTGTAAAGAATTTGGTAAACTAGACCGCACTGCAATTTGGATTCTACTCTATCTTTGAAGCATGAAAAAATTGATTTCTTGTTTATTCGAAAGCGGATAAAATCGGTATTACGGAAATTAAAACCTAAGTTATCGCAGTTGAACGTCTCACTGTTAATATGGGCAACAATAGTATAATTTTGTGAATTATATATAGTTTTGAGGTATGTTTTTTGTGAGTTATGGATGTATACTAGTAATGTAACCTACAAAGACGATTAAATAAACTGATATTCTGCATGCATGCGCCACCCTAGGTGGCTAATCCTCCTATTTTCTCATGCATGCTCCACCCTAGGTGGCTTATCCTCCTCTTTATGTATTCATGCGCCACCTAGGGTGGCTTATCCTCCTCTTTTTGCATGCATGCACCACCTAGGGTGACTTGTCATTGAACAACAAAACTTGCATGCATGCCATCTGATCCCTGCCACGCTGCAGGTTTGCATGCATGCAAAAAGCAAGAAGCCATATTG